TTCCTGCTTATATTTATTATCTCTCCAACCGCATGGCTCGATTGAGAAATGTTTTGGCGGTTTCATTTCAGACTGCTTGAGAATTTTTCTAGTTAACGATAAAACAATATTGTTGATTAATTATTTATCACGACGGTACTTTTTGTGTGAAATGGTTTTAAAAAAGACTGCAATTCGTAACAATACAGAGATAATCGTTTTAATTTTATATACACTAACCTCAAGCTGTCTGATGATAGCCAGGCCATAATCACGTTTCTCTAATTTGAAACGCGTGTGCATCTAGTGAACTTAACTCGTATTAGTTATTAAAATGTAGCATTATTTTACTGATGGTTGTAATTTACAATTTTAAGGGTCCGGTGAACTATCATGACAAACGATTTTTGCATTTTTCTTTTTTTATCAAAAAGTAACCATTTGTAGCCACATTTAGTTTTAAATTAAAAACATGGAGATTATGCAAGGAATTGACACATATTTGAGGTTATGGAGAATTTTAACACCTGCAGAATAGAAGGAAAAGCAATGTTGCCAGATCCACTAAATTTTCTTTTTTGTTTTTTTTTTAATTTTTATTTTGAAAAAATGACCATTTTTAATAACAATTTTAAATAAAATATGCCCTAGATTTCAAAATATTTTATTATATTTTTGGTGTTATTTGGGATCCGTTTCACTTTGGGGCCCTCGAAATTAACAAATTTTCTATAAAATGAAGTTATATTCTAATGCTGTTACTTAATGAGGAAAAATGAAATATTTGGTAAAACAAAAGAAACAAATTTTTACAACCGGAAAAATATTCTTGCGCTTTTTCATTTGCGGTTATAACGTGTTTAGATTGCTAGAGCTATAGCTACATCGGTGGTAATTTAGCCAATTTGTTAAACCAAAGTAACCAAATTCATATTAAAATTAAAAAAAAAAAAAAAATGCGCATTAAACAGAAAAAGAACGAAAAAAAAACAAAAAAAGAGTGAAACCAAAGCAATCAAAACTAGTGATGGGAAAAAACGATTAATTTTAATAATCGAGTGCTCGAGTATCAAGCGATTGCAATAACCGAGTGATCACTCGAGCGAAATATCACTCGTATTTAAAAATACGGTTTTTTGTCCGTCGCATGTTGTAAGTACTCGTTAACGCCAAGCGCCAAGCAGTAAGCTGCGTGCGCAGAGCACATATTCTTTCGGTAATGAACGGCAAGTAGTAAGCAGCGAGCGATTCGCTTGATCGTCTGGCGCCTGGTTTAGTGTTTAGTTTTAGGGCCAGTCAACTGAGATCTACGACCATGAACGATCTGTTTTTGGGGTAGTAATTTCCTGGGGCGCTAGATGGCGCATTTTTATTTGAATTTTTATAGTTGTCTAAAAATTGCGTACAAAATTGTTTTTGTAGTTGCCTAAATAGGCCTATTAATTATGTTCTGTCATTGTTCTGTATGTCAAATCAGTTTTCCGTTTCCGGCTTCCTCCTTCCTCTTCAGTTGTGTTTTGCCATTGAACGGAGATGTGCGTTTCGCTGTTTTCTGGTTGTTTCGCTATGTTTTTTTGCAATCTTCATTTTACAATCGTGATTTTGTATTTTTGAATTTTGTTGATTTGTTGTTTTGTGTTTGATTTTTAAGATCTTTATTAAAGGTAAGGTTTGAGTTAAAGATCTTTGGTTTATCTAAAAATTTTATTTAATAATCCCAGAAAGCGAGGTGAGGTAACCTAACCAAGTCCAAATATTCGTGAATTTTATTTTTTAACAATGTAATATTTACGCCATATATTTTTACAAAAAAAAATCGATCAACTCCATATTTTTGTACATAAACTCCACAATGTTATATTACACAATTGTTCAAGTCCATATGTAAAAAATACACGTAAATAAAACATTGTTTCTAATGGACTTAGTCACTTTCTCTTGTATTCCAATGATATTTGTTATGTGTTCTTAAATCTGGTACTATAGTAAATATTATACTTTTTAATCTGGTGGTTTATTTGTTTGTAAAATGTTTCATGGTATAATTTTCTGTAAATTAAAATAAATTATTTATTGTAGGTTTTTATGCACATAAAATGATATAAGCAAACCATTTAACACTTTACAATAGTTTAACCAAAGTTTAACCTTTATATATAAATCCTTGTTTTTTACCATTTGACTTGTTTGCCAACTTGGGACCAATTAGATTACTACACATTATTTTGTAGAAATCTGATTGGCTCTAACTGGCGAACAAGTCAAAACGTCTTGCTTAAAAATAAATTGCGTCTATTTAAATTTGCCGCCACCTTTGTTACTTTCCTGGGTGGCTAGATGGCGCCACTTCAATATACAGATTACAGATTTCTCTACAATTTTGAAACCGTTTTGAAACTAAAAAATGCATGGGAGTTAGCGTTCTTCTTTAGTGTGTTCTATGTTTAGTTTATTTCGAAGCATTGTCGATGTAGGTCGTAAAATTTTGTCTTTCAGATACGCAACGGATAAATATACCGGGTGCGTCTCAACAGTGGATCACCCCCTATAACTTTTTTATTTTTTCAGATTACATAACGAGATTTGGTATATTAGTATATGACATAAATTAGGATTGATTGACATATTCAATTGTTTCCGGTCACTTCCGGTTTTACCGGAAATGACTGCAACTTTTGATTTTTAAATCGCACTTTCGGTATTTTTTACTTTATTCGGTAGAAAATGACACTTTGAATAGAATGGCATATCAGATGTCAACTTTTGATATTTTCGCATATGGTTTATTTGAAATTGTAACATGCGATTCATAACGAAAATTTGACTCGAAGTACCAAGTGTGTGGTATCAAATTATTATTATTATGAGAGTTATGGAGATGCAATTGTTACACTGATTTTAATACCGTACATAAGATATGACGAAGTTAAGGTTGTTAAGCCTCTTAAGTAGATAATATTACTAATTAGAATCTATTAAAATTCTGTAAATAACAACGCATGCTTTACTAAATAATTTGTTAATAATTGAGAAGAGATAACGCATATAAAATAATATTTTTGGTTAAAAATAAATCTTCTAACTTCTCTCCTAACGTCCAACGTATTTAAGTGTTATTTTGCCAGGCGATATCTAAAGGTACGAAATTTTTGACAGTTTTAATTGAAAACATTTTGTTTAATAAATATTTTCTCATTGTTCAGTAATTATTAGATTTAATATTTTGTGAAATAACTACCCTATAGATTTATTTCTATAGTAGTCAGCTTCTGTTTTCTTATTTTACTTTTGAGTTTTTTTAGAATCAGTTTTTTCTTGGTAGTACATTCATGGTAACAGAATAAAGTTATTTTGCTCTAGTATATTTTGGCTTTAATTAGTTCAAATACAAATAATCTTCTTTTATTTGATTATATATTACAGAGAAATTATATAGAGGTGTCAGATAGAGGTGGGATCCACATAGAAGTGTTTGATTAGGCAGTCGGAAAGACGTTGGTAGAACAAGCCACTAGATACAGGGTAGGCATTTCTCGCCTTGGATGCCGATTTTCGTGTGTACGAAGAGTACGATCAATATGCTCAGTAAAATAAGATGTACTGAATAAAGAAGTAAGAGCAAGTATTTTCACAAGCGCGTGAAATCATTCGCGCATCAGCTTCGTGTTTAGTGGTTATGTAATAAATACTTCGCATTTTTGCTCTCTCCGTCTTACTACTAGATCGCCATAGCGATTCACTCATAGACATGTAAACACTAACCCAGGGCTTCCCTTGGCAATGGGGTATACTGTTCCAGGAACGAACTAGGGGTAGATTCTTAGGTTCGCTAATAGAACATACCAATACCATACCAACAATAAATTATTCAATAATTTTTTTTTGCGTTAATTCCTAGGACATATCTTTTTATCACTTATCCGTTACGTATCCTACCGAAATTTAAGACATTTCGTTGCAATTTTAATTGTAGTTTATTATTAAACATCAAAGGTTTTTTTATTATTTTTTACGCAAGTTGTTTAAAATATCAACTGAGGCTCACTTCCAGTTTCCTAACAGTGGCATTTTATAAAACATAACTTTTTATTTATAGATTTCCTGAATCTACAGAAAAACTGGCGCTAACATAGACTTAAAATAAAATATAGACTACACTATTTACATCTACGCGCGGTCAAACAATCATTTTTGTACACATGTTTACTTCTGGGTACACTCGACCGCAGCCGACCAAACCTTCCTTATCCAGCCTATGTTGTCACGTCTTTAATATTATCAATATTTTTTTACTTATTATACACATATATGGAGATATTAATACTGGATTTTAATAAAGTAGGTTTTAATATTCCATAGATGTATTAAATAGTCTGTGAATAATTATTTGCGCTATACGTGGCAACTGCGCCGTCTCTAATTATTTGTGCTATACGTGGCAACTGCGCCGTCTCCATACATCGTCGCATTGCGGCGGTAGCCGAAGAAGAGCGAGGCCCCCAGGCAGCAGTCGAGCACAAGACGTTAGACCAAACGCGTCGTCTTTGTTTTTTTTAATTTCGACTCGATGTTTTATAAGGAGACAATAATTTTTGTTTAGTTAGTTGTCTCAAAGTTTGTAATTTCAAGTGACAATAAACCGAAAGTATACAGTCCACTGAACATTTTATTTCGTCGATGGTTTATTTGTTTCCTTAAGCCAAGGGGAAACTACATTTTGGTCACTTCGTCCGGATAATTGGATTGGAATTTCATCGTCGACTTGCTGTGCTGCAAGAGCTGCCTGCTGCCATTTTGGATCGTTGAACCGGCGTTCGGTCGGTAAATAAGGTGGGTCCATTCCAAATTATTTCCTTTTTCTGCTTCCTTGTAGTTGTTGGCAATTTTCGTTACTATCAATAGTGTAATTAGTTGTTTTTCGTCGTTTTACTCATTTCGGGGTAAATATTTGGTTGATATTATTTCGCCTATTGATAATTTTGATCGTTTCGTAAGCCTGATTTTTGATTTTCGTAAACATTATGAGTGTAGTAGTCGAGAACATGGATGTCCTTATTCGAAAACGCGGATCATTTAAGGCAAAGGTCACTCATTTTGAAAAATACGTCGCAAATTTGGAAAACACGTATCCAGACAAAATCGTGTCGGATCGCGTTACATTTTTAGACTTGGAAACGCGTTATGAACGGTTTTCACAGGTTTTTGATGAATTTGAGTTAGTGCAAAACGAAATCGAAGAGTCTAGTGATCTTGCTTCGGTAAATTCGCAGTATGAGGAACGCGAAAATTTTAATGATGCTTATTTTAGGTTGATGGCCAAGGCTAAATCATTTCTTGCGGATGATAGTATAGATAACGTGAAAAGTAGTGGTAGGTCCGTTGCGGGTTCGGTAGCCACGCAAAATACAAATATTTCGCAAAATTTGGTTCAGGATTTTAAACGAGTTAAACTTCCAACCATCGAGATTCGCACTTTCACAGGTGAATACGGTAAGTGGTTAGAGTTCCGTGATACCTATGTATCGCTAATTCACGAAAATGATGCCTTATCGGACATACAAAAATTTCATTATTTAAGATCATTTTTGGCGCCTAAAGTGTTGGAAGTTATCGCGAGTTTAGGGTTTACAGGGACAAATTATGAGGCTGCGTGGAACTTAATTTACGCTCGTTATAATAATAACAAAATTTTGATTCAAAATCATCTTCGCGGTTTATTCACGTTAGACAAGATTCAGGAAGAATCTCCTTCGGTGCTAAGAGACTTAGCAGATAATGTGGATAAGCATATAAGATCTTTAAATGCTCTTGGGGAAGACACCACTAATTGGGACACCTTGTTAATTTATCTCGTTTCGTCTAAATTAGATTCCATGTCACTAAAAAAGTGGGAAAGTGCCAAAGGTGAGGCCAAAAAATCGTTGTTGCCAGATTTGACTAAATTTCTTCGAGATCGAGCCAATTTTTTGGAATCGTTAGAGCAGGCAAAGCCTGACAAAAAGTCAAATTCGAAATTTAGGGCAGGGATGGAATCCAAATATAATAAGCAAGGTAGTTCAAGGTCTTTTGTTGCGACAGGGCAATCGTGTTGCTATTGTAAAAAGGAGCATTTCATACAAAACTGTCCAGATTTTGTAAATTTAAGTGTGAATGAGAGAATTCAGGAAGCGAAAAAATTGCGTTTGTGTTTGAATTGTTTGAGAGCTGGGCATGTTTTAAAAGATTGTCGTTCGATTGTTTGTAAAATTTGTAAGTTTCGGCACAACGTGTTGTTGCACATAAATCGAGAAAAGGCGGCGGAAACGACCGCTGCTGCCGCTGCTACCAGTTCCTCTACTGCAGAAAAGGAGGAAACTGTGAATTGTAGCTTCGCTTCGCATAAAAATGATGGTGTTCTTTTGTCAACTGCGGTAGTTAGGGTCTTGGGAAAAAACAATAAATGGTTTACAGCACGCGCTTTATTGGATCCTGGATCGCAGAGTAGTTTTTTGTCAAGGTCATTTGTGGACAAGCTTTCAATACCTGTAACTAAAGTAAATATCAACATTTGTGGTTTGAACGAAACTGAGTCTGCGGTTTCTGGAAAGGTGAATGTTAAGGTCCAATCTCGTATAAATGACTTTTCGTTGGAATTATCCTGTTTTGTTATCCCTCTCGTTACAGGGTCGTTGCCCAATTTCAAGGTCGACAGTCAAAATTTGAATATTCCTGCAAATGTTTCGTTGGCAGATCCTACATTCTGCACAAGTGGTCCTGTTGACATGCTGATTGGAGCCGATTCCTTCTGGGATTTGTTATGTGTAGGCCAGATCAAACTAGGGCCCAATGGACCATTTTTGCAGAAAAGCAAACTCGGATGGATAGTGTCAGGAAAGGTGGCTCGGCTAAATAACTTGGAGGGTACAACAGTTTGCAATTTTGTTAAAACTGAGCAAATAGATAGGCAGTTATCGCGGTTTTGGGAAATAGAGGAAGGCGTGGTTAGAAAACCACAATCTGTCGAGGAAATTGCCTGTGAGAAACATTTCGTCGATACGTTTTCTCGAGCGGCCAATGGAAGTTTCGTTGTTTCAATGCCTCTCAAGGGCAGCCTAAGCCAGCTCGGCGAATCGTATAATGCAGCCAAAAAGCAATTTCTATCCTTGGAACGAAAATTCGAGCGCGATCATGAGTATCGTGATTTGTATCGTGATTTTGTCAATGAGTATCGACGCCTAGGACATATGACAAAAGTGTCCGATCCTAGTGCATCTCAGTTTTCGTTTTACCTTCCTCACCATGGTGTTCTGAAGTTGTCCTCGTCTACTACCAAACTTCGAACTGTTTTTAATGCCAGTGCCAAAACCACCAGTGGTTGCTCGCTAAATGATCTTTTGATGGTTGGCCCAACCATTCAGTGTGAACTTATCTCTATTTTGTTGCGCTTTCGTAAATTTCAGTACGTTTTGGCGGCTGATATTGAGAAAATGTATCGTATGGTGTGGATCGATACTAGTCAGCGGTGCCTGTTACGAATCCTGTGGCGTGACAGTCCAGACGAAGATATCGAGGTGTACGAGTTGAACACTGTTACATATGGGACTTCATCGGCGGCTTTTCTCGCCATTAGGTGCTTGTACCAATTGGGAATCGAATTTGAAGAAGTTTCTCCGTTAGTTGCCAATACAATAAAGAATCATTTTTATGTCGATGATGTGCTAACTGGTGGGGATACTATTGAAGATACCCTGAGTTTAGCTAACGAACTTTGTAAAGTTCTAAAAGGTGGTGGTTTTCTTCTTCGCAAGTGGGTGTCAAACGAACCCTCTATACTCAAGGAAATCGAATCTGCAGATAACAATGGAGTAGTTGATATTGGTTGTATGGAGAACAACAAAACATTAGGTATGCTTTGGAACGGCGAAGGAGATCATTTTTTCTTTTCGATTGGAAATCAGTCAAGTTCCAAGGTCACCAAAAGAATCGTATTGTCAGAAATCTCCCAAATTTTCGACCCTCTTGGTCTCCTTAGTTGTTGCGTAATCTTGGTAAAGTCATTTGTAAGAATGCAAAAGTTGTAGAGCTGCATGTATTTTCGGACGCGTCGTCTTATGCTATGGGAAGCTGTGTTTATATTCGAACGATCGATAATCATGGTAATATTTTTGTCAAGCTTTTGTGCGCTAAATCAAAGGTTGCTCCCTTAAAAATACAGACAGTCCCGCGTCTCGAGCTTATGGCAGCTGTGTTAGCTGCACGTCTCTGTGAAAAGGTTCGGCAATCCATGGAAATTGAGTTTAATAGCATCACATTTTGGACCGACTCGACGATAGTTTTGGGCTGGATAAACACCTCTCCGCATTTATTGCAAGTTTTCGTCGCCAATAGAGTTAATTCGATCCAAGAGCTCACAAATATTGAAAATTGGAGGCATGTGCGAACCCAGGACAATCCAGCTGATTGTGTGTCACGTGGCGTGAAGCCTCAGGAGTTGTTAGAGTTCGAAATGTATTGGTCAGGACCAGATTGGCTTCGAGAATCCATAGAAAGCTGGCCTGAGCCTCTTGTAGTGTCCAGATCTAACGAGTTGCCTGAATTAAAAAGGGTCATTTTTGCAAATACATCTACGTTAGATTCTGAGTTTATAGATTTGTCTAGGTTTTCCAATTTAACTCGATTGGAACGAGTGATTGCCTACTGTATTCGTTTTATAAATAATTGTCGTAGAAAAGAGGATGAAAGGTTATCGAGTTCTTTAAGTTGTGATGAAATAAGTCATGCGTCGTTATTATTAGCTAGGTTATCACAACGTCAATCATTTTCCGAAGATCTTGTAACATTGTCCAAGCAAGGGCAAGTAAGTAATAAAAGTAAATTAATAAAGCTTCATCCATTTTTAGATGAAAACGGTTTAATTCGTGTCGGCGGACGTTTAAACAACTCAGATTACGTATATGAGAAAAAACATCCTATTGTGTTGTGTTCAAAACATGTTTTTACTAGGCTTTTATTCGCTCGTGAACACAAACGGCTACTGCATGCTGGCCCACAGCTCTTATTAGCTGTTATTCGGGAAAATTATTGGCGCATAGCAGGACGTAGTTTAGCTCGTAAAGTTTTCCATCAATGCGTAATTTGTTTTCGAAATTGTCCCAAAGAAATTAGCCCGGTGATGGGTGATTTACCAAAGCGGCGGGTCACACCATCTCCTCCATTTTACGTAACTGGCGTAGACTACGCTGGTCCCTTCCTAATCAAGGATAGACAGGGACGCGGCTGTCGCACTTCAAAGGCTGATATTGCGGTGTTTGTATGCTTTGCCACAAGGGCTCTGCATTTAGAGTTGGTAAGCGCTTTAACCACAGAAGCCTTTCTAGCTACTTTGAAACGCTTTGTAGGTCGGCGGGGAAAACCTGCACAAATGTACTCAGACAACGGTACAAATTTCACAGGAGCTTATAATGAGTTATCTAAATTAGCGGATTTTTTACAGAATAAGGCAAATTCAATTGTCAAAGCTATCGAGAATAAAGGCATCTCATGGTCATTCATTCCAGCTAGTTCTCCACACTTTGGTGGGTTGTGGGAATCGGGCGTGCGAACGGTCAAATATCATTTGAAACGTGTTGCGGGAAACGCATTATTAACTTTCGAGGATCTGAGTACGCTATTGATAGAAATTGAGGCTGTCCTCAACTCGCGTCCCATGAGTCCTTTATCTTGTGATCCCTCTGATTTGACACCTTTAACTCCCTCCCACTTTTTGATTGGCCGACCTATGGAATCCGTACCAGATAGAGATTACACGGCAGTACCAACCAATCGCTTATCCCACTTTCAACGAATTCAGCAAATGAAAGGACATTTTTGGACCAGATGGTCGTTGGAATACATATCCGAATTGCAGAAAAGGCAGAAGTGGACAACGCAACAAGGCCTACTTGAGGCCAACGATTTGGTGTTAGTCAAGGAGGACCACCTGCCTCCCCTCCAATGGTTGCTTGGACGAATAGTGGAGACCCATCCAGGAAAGGACGGAGTAGCTCGTGTCGCCACCATCAGAACAAAGCAAGGCACTATCAGGCGTTCATTTGCTAAAATTTGTCCCTTACCTAAGTGTATTGGCTCTAATAATAGTTAAGTGTTGAAAGATGCTCTAGACTTTCAAGGCGGGGGGCAATGTGAATAATTATTTGCGCTATACGTGGCAACTGCGCCGTCTCTAATTATTTGTGCTATACGTGGCAACTGCGCCGTCTCCATACATCGTCGCATTGCGGCGGTAGCCGAAGAAGAGCGAGGCCCCCAGGCAGCAGTCGAGCACAAGACGTTAGACCAAACGCGTCGTCTTTGTTTTTTTTAATTTCGACTCGATGTTTTATAAGGAGACAATAATTTTTGTTTAGTTAGTTGTCTCAAAGTTTGTAATTTCAAGTGACAATAAACCGAAAGTATACAGTCCACTGAACATTTTATTTCGTCGATGGTTTATTTGTTTCCTTAAGCCAAGGGGAAACTACATAGTCCTTATACTACTTTATTATAAGTCGAATACTATGTAAAAAGGATAAATCCTTTACAATATGGCAACACCGATTAGAGGCGAGGTCGCCTATTCAATCTTCTATTATCTTGTAGTACGCGTCGCACGTGTGTAGTAAAGCATTGTTGCCGCTACTTCTCTCCAGCTGAATTATTGAATTTTCTTAGTTTGTAGTCCTTGAATGTTTATTTTATTTACTTTTTGTATTCAAGAACTATAAAATATGGTTCGCCAGTGCCAAATTTGCAAAAAATTTGACTTAAATGATGAATTTGAGTCTCGAAACGACTTTCGACCGGTAGGCAACTCTCAATTTACCAATTGAGAGTCAGTGGCGTTGTTGTAGAAAGGCGCTTATTTAGATAATATTTTAGTAAAATGTAAAATCTGAATTTTTTCTATTACATAATCATTTATATAAAAGTTTTTGTAACAAAATCATAATTATAACCATGTTATTATACAAGATAAATTATATTAGGCATCGGTTAAAAAATTAATCATGTTTTTATTGAAAATATATTCCAGTTTATCCTAAAACTATCTTCAGAATCTAAAATAACATACAAGAATTTTAAAATGATATTACATTATGAAACAATATTTTTTAATATACCGGGTGCGTCTCAAAAGTCACCCCTATGACTTTCTGTTATTTTTTCAGATAAAAAAAAGCAGATTTGTATGTTAGTCTATGACATAAATTAGGATTGACTGACACATTATCAATTGTTTTCGGTCATTTCCTGTTTCACCGGAAATGACTACAACATTTGATTTTTAAATAGCACTCTCGGTATTTTTTACTTTATTCGATAGAAAATGACACTCTGAATAGAATGACATATCATATGTCAACTTTTGACATTGTCGCTTAAAAACAAATCGTATTATAAATTTCAATCCAGGGTGCCACGGCGGTGTCAAAAACACTAAGTTTTAATCAAGGAGCATTGGAAAAATAGTTTTGATCGTCTATTGTTTTTCGTGTCTTGTCTAGGCCGGTTAAAAGATGCACAAATCGTATTTTTAATCATAAGTCAATTTTCTAAATGGAACAAGGGTGACTGATTAGCATATTTTGCTAATCAGTCACTTTTATTCGAGTGAAATTGTCGTTATGAACCGCGTGTTACAATTTCAATTAAACCATATGCGAAATGACATTCTATTCAGAGTGTCATTTTCTATCGAATAAAATAGAGATATACCTAGGGTGTGAAATATATACCTAGGTAGTAAAAATCAGAAGTTATAGTTATTTCCGGTGAAACAGGAAGTGACCAAAAACAATTGAATGCGCCAATCAATCCTAATTTATGTCATATACTAACATATCAAATCTTGTTTTTTTATTAGAAAAAAATAAAAAAAATTATGGGGGTGAGCCACTTTTGGGACGCAGCCGGTATAATAAAGACAGTACCGGGTTAAATAAATGTAGTTTTCATTTTATCCACTTCCTAAAAGCTTGCTTTAATGAAACAGATCTCTGTTTTCTCTAATTTACATAATAAGGCATCACTTACCAGAAAAAACAAATTACAACAATCATGAAGTTTTTTTCTTTCCATGTCGCCGATTCTATTATATTATCTAGATCCTGTTTTGATTAATATTACGGCTGTAAATGTTTGACTAAAATTAATAATTAATTTATTAATTTCAAAAATTAAATAGGTAATTTCGATTATATATTAAATTTTTTTCTATAACATGTATTTTATTATTTTTATCGCTTTTGAACGTTTTTTTTCTAAACTTTTATTTAAAAAACCTCTCCTAAATATTAATAAAATATAAAAAAGTTAAATACGATATATTTTTTATCGTTACGACGGAGACAACCTATCTATCGCTCGTGTCGCACTCGTTAGAGCGTTAGAGCCTAAAACAATAACACAACAATAACAAGACATTGTCTGACCGCATCTTCCAGCTATTTATGAATGAGATGCTCAGTATATATTTTATTTTAAGTCTATGGACGCTAAAGTTTACTCACTAGTTCTAAAGATAATGTTAAACAAAATGAAATATCAAACCAGTAAAATGTATTTTCACTTTTAATCTGGACCTTACAAGAACATATCAGATTATGATAAAAAAATGTTATTTATTTTACTGTTACCTTATAAACATAATTATTATCAACAGAACAAACACAAGCTTTATTTACTGTTAATATATTAGGTTAGAAACCTTCAGTCCTTATGGTTAAACGTAAAATTGCCAATCATTGTCACACTGTCAATATCGTTAAACGAATAACCAGCAATAAACCTGTTCATTTCAGAGCCAGGATTACATTTTAATCATCTGTTAATGATGCCAGCGTGGCTAGCTGAACGGTAATAACCTAAAAACTTAATGCTCCCATTTTAGTTTACGTTGAATTGGTAATCATCCATTACATTTGTGCAGTAAAACCTTAATCAACTTATCCAATTATGATACTCCCTTTACCATCCTTTACCTATAAATTAATTGAGTTCTAACTGGTATATTTTGAAATTCAGACAGCTTTAATTGCAGATATTTACCCTATTATAAATTAGGGTGCATCTAATTTTTTTTTTGGTGCACTCTAATATCCACGTGAACGATAATTTTGTTACTGTGAAAATATCTGATCGTGATTTTCTATTTCCCATTTAAATAATAGAGGAATTTTTTTTTTTAAATTTTATTCATCATCATCATTTAGCTTATATCATACTGCTGAACAAAAGCCTCCCTTAACTCTAGCCATTTCTTTCTAACTTGTGCCGCTTGAATCCAGTTTCCAGCCACCCTCTTAATGTCATCTGTCCATCGACTAGGAGGTCGTCCTCTGCTTCTATAGGCCTCGTATCTCGGTCTCCATTCCACAAGTCTCTTTGTCCACCGCCCATCTGTCATCCTAGCCACATGTCCTGCCCAATTCCATTTAAGATATAAGACAGATATCACCGCATCTCTTACTCCTGTTCGATTTCGTATTGTATGATTGGGTATTTTATCTCTGAGTGTAACTCCCAACATGGACCTTTTCATTTTCCGTTGCATGACCTGTATTCTACCGTCTTCTTTTTGGTCAAAGTAAGTGTTTCAGCTCCATACGTGAGGACAAGCAAGACACACTGGTTAAAGATCTTTCTTAAACATATGGGAATATCAGATCTCAGTATATGCCTTAGTTTGCCGAATGCCACCCACGACAAACGTATTCTTCGTAAATAGAAAAAACAATAAATATAGAAATAAATCAGCGTGTTGTTTTAAAAATTATTACATATTGTAACGTTTTTAGTTCGTTACATGTCTTTTGTATATGATATATGATGTCTGGTATATTGTCACCGGATTCCGTATCGTCCAGGCCTGATAATTTATTTGGTACGCTTGGCGTAGTTTTTACGATCTCTAGTCAACAACCCTGTTTTCGCTTCACTGCTCTGTGGAGGGCTGTCAAGATCGTTTCAAGGCGCCTCTCTGCGCTTTAACCTCACTTTTGGTCAACCCGGCTTTTAGAAATGGTAATTTAAATCTTGCTGCTTAATTTGAATCGGCTGCTATTTCGAAGCTACAGGTAAAGATGAGATATTATCTTTTTTAGATTCGATATTATTATTGAGTATTTTTAGGGTAGAGTTTTGGATTGACCCACCGTAACTCGTATTTGTATTTTGCTGACACGCTGGTGTTCTTTTGCTTTTGTCCTCCAGAATGTTAAATGGAAGAAAGGACAATTGCCTTTGTTTATTATAGAGCCCTCGGAAGTATTTCGAGGTAGGCTATTGTGTTTATTACACTGGTAGGTTTTAAACACGAGTTTCGTATTTTTAGGGTCCTATGGTTGGATGCCCTATGTACGGGTAGTTTTCCTATGGACGGATGTTCCATGTAGGGGCGTAGTTCCCATGTATGGATAGTTTATCCTATGTATAGATTCCCACAGTATGGATGTAGCGTAAGCCCCATGCTGCTTCATTCCTATCTTTAAGGACAGTCGATAGTTACGGCTGTATTGGTTCATGGTGTTTAAATCCTGGCCCCTTTATAGTATTGGCCAACAGTAGAGCCAAGAGAAAGTGCAGAGATGCGAGCCCACCTCACGCTGTTACTGTGTGAAGCAAGATTACCTAAAGAAAAAACAGCTAAGTGTAGATTTAAGTTCTGGTTTTACGTTTAACATTTAAAACATTTTCAGTCTTAACATAATAACGTACATCTTAAATAATATCGTACAGACTATGTTTAGTGGTTAGATCGTTAAGAACTTATTTATGCCGATTTAGTATTTAAATATGATTTAGATCTTAGGTTTCAGTACATTACGTTTTGTAATAGTATTCCTTCCTGTATATATCTATTCCGTGATTTTAAAGATGAATTACCAGACATTGATTCTAGAATCTACGACTTGCAACATCTCAGATTTAACATCGTATAAAAGATAACAAATTAAATAAAGTAATGCTACCTTTTTTATATTTTCTATAGCTCTATCTATATTGTATTTTCCATAGTCTTTCATTGAATGTATTTGATTTTATTTTTAACATAACTTTGTTCGACATAATTAGAACCACTATAATGATTAGAATTTTACAATG